AAATGCCCTGCACGAACTGCAGAGGATATTAAGTGGTTTGATTATTATGGGCCTTGAACAAAGACTGGTTAATGTTTATTGTCTTTTCAAGTGATTCTTCACGAATTATTTTACAAGCACTTGGATCAGACGAAACACAAAATAACCGAGGAAGTACAGTCCGTGAAAATCACGACGTTACAAAATAGAATATTTTAAGTTTTTAGAATCCTATCTGCCAACATAAGGGAACAGCGTAAACTCAAGAGTGTTTAAACGCGAAATGCAGGCGAAGTTGGATATTGGGCATTCACAGTCAGAAACTTCGTCTAAGCACGAATTTCATACAAATTGTAACATTAAAAAACCCACTCCCTACCTCAACGAAAACACGATGCATCTCTAGTACAACGGTAAATTGGTCAAGGCTGCTTGGCGAAATACTCAGGCAACAAGGACCTCTGAAACGTTGGTAAACTTCTACCAGACTACACAGCGCAACAACCCAGAAGATGACCATCTTCATATTCGCCACCGTGGGAACCTGAAATCTCAAACAATCGGTTTGTTATAAGGATCATAAGATACTCATAAAAAAACACGTGGTTACTGAATGGTAAAGTAGATGGTACACACAGATAATCACAAAACACCATTAAAAACGTAGAATTTGAAGTTTTCAAGGTGATGTGAGTACCCTTTTCTTCTGGGTTGTTGAACTGTGTAATCTTGAGAAGTTATTCCAACATTTCAGAGGAGCAATTTGCCACAAATTTCATACCCTGAAAACGGAGGCAGCATAACTCACTTTAAAAATATATTTTAACCCTCAGCATATGTTAACAGGCAATTATACCCCTGTATTACGTGCATGCCATCTGGACTTTAACTCCGTGGTTAAAGGCTTAGTAGAAAGCTAGTGAAACACAAAGCTTAATTGTGCGTACAACACGAAGAAAGGGCCATAAAGGTTAAAACTATCTTAATCTGCAACACTGTTTTGGATTATTTACTGTTTATTCTTAATTAATTTCTTCAGTCACTTCATCTCACAAGGCAGAACAAATTATTAAACACTATGACTTAACTGTTTAATAAACAGTTTTGCAAACATTATATTGTCATATGCATGAAAAGCAAGAGTTGTCACAGAAACAACATGGAATACAACGCAACAAGCTCACACAAGAATGACAGAAAATTTGCTTTTAAAATTACTGCTCAATTACACGCGTGTGTTGAAAGCTTCTCTGCTATACTGACAAGTAGTAGATATTAATTACACTGTTCAACAGCCAAAATATATCGGAGATGAAACTAACCAATTTTTACTAATTTTGAGCTACTAAACACGAAAATGACATTTATTTTGCATGATAGGTTCGCATTTCAAAGATATTCATATCAAGCTATTTCGCTCAATTTTCGTAATTTTCAAAATTGTAATGGACAACTTACTTCAGAAACAGCCTGTACAAGGGCAGAGAAGGTTTTATTGCTTCCTACAGGTCTAGTCAATATCCCCAAGGGATGTTCAATAAATTGGTTCAGTTGTCCTTGTCGTTCTGTTTGGCAAACAAGAGTTTTGTGGAGTGCGGATTTTGTTTCACTTCGTCTTAGTAAAAACGTCGTTCTGAGTAGTTAAATGAGATATTTGTAACACTAAAATATACAAAATGTCGCGTAAATGTGTCAATAATCCTAACAACTTTCTGTTATATCTCCTCTATAGCGATAATTATCGCTATAGAGGGGTTCTTTGTAGTGGCTGATTGTATCATCCAGAGGTCATCGCCCTGATGACGGAGGCAGTATGACCTCTGAAACGTTGGTTAACATCGACCAGACTACACAGCTCAACAACCCAGAAGACAGAAATCTTCAACATTGGAGGCGTGTGAATAACACACTGAGATGAGCTGAAAAAGAGAACAACAAATTCTGTGATGTGGAATTTCTAAATGCTTCTCTTTACTTAGCACTGTCAGGGAAACATGTTGCTTAATGTAAACATTTTAATCACAAATTCTACCAGAAAATTTATATTCAGAGTTCTCTTACTTCTAGTAAATGTTTAACATAATAAAAACAGCATCATGTATATTTGCACAAACAGCATACAACTGTGTATGTTCCTGCGCACCACAATTACTATCATAAACTCTCTAGCAAGATTAAATGTAAATTCCTAAAATTATATATTACCTTTTACTTACATTTACAGATGTTATAAAAGTCACTCGTCAATCAACAATTCACTTGAAAACACCACAAACACTAACTCCGTTAAATACATCAAGCTAATCGATAAAGTTGAAAGTAGCTATCAGTTTTACGGTTTTCGTGAAGGGATGCTGGACTTTTATCGGAAAAACCTTCTAGTATACAAAATAGCAAACAAACAACTATTAACACTATAAAAAAGACACTATTGCCTTACGTGTTTCAACCTCAAGAAGTCATCATCAGTGGCATCAGGGAAATTAATTCATTTAATCAAATGGTTCAAACTGGATTTAAAAATAAATAAGGTGTTTCACAAACGTATTTCAAGTGAAACTGCACTAGATGTTGTTATTTATAGGAATAGACTCTGCACTTATGCTATTTATCTGGTGGCCGTAGCTGGTCTTCGGCGAGCTGTAGTTGCATCGTCCGTACCTGTGAACCCACGGTTCTGCAGTTCACAGGTATGGAGCTGTAGTTGTGTCGTCCATACCTGTGAACTGCAGAACCGTGGGTTCACAGGTACGGACGACGCAATTACAGCTCACCGCAGACCAGCTACAGCCACTGAACCATCGGATCAATAGCTAAGTGCATAGTTCTACTCCAGTGAATAACAACATCTAGTGCAGTGTCACTTGAAATACGTTTGTGAAACACCTCAATTATTTTCTAAATCCAGTTTAAACCATTAGATTAAATGAATTAATTCCCTTGATGCCACTGATGATGATCTCTTGAGGTTGAAACGCGTATGGCAATAGTGTATTCTTCATAGTGTTAATAGTTGTTTGTTTACTTATTTTATATTCTAATACACTACACGGTATGCAAAGTTTTAAAACCTCGTAGTGCTTGACAGTAAGTCATGCAGTTCCAACTGGAAGCCGGGAAATGAATTTCATTCAACTTTATCAGTGAACACACCACACTTTCTTACTACCACATGCTTATTAAAATTAAAATTGATAAAATACAATCATTCTGCTTGCCTGATACAGGCATAGTAATGCAAATACCTCACAAAGACATCACCGGAAGTAACCAATGCTGTCACAAATAAATACAAAGTTTCATTCACAACTTATCGAACAGTTCGTACAATTCACAAAACGTGTAGTCACTTGAACAAGCGCTCTATAAATAAAAGGGGAAGTCATTTTGTGTCGAAGTATCATATTACTTAAGGTTAAATATCCACAAATTCTTGATGACAGTCAAGTGGTGTATAATTATTTTTATTCATGGGTGGGCGAAATGGAACAGTTCTAAAGCGACTGCAGGCCTGAAGGCCTTGCACAAACAATTCTATGGTTCAAATATGTTTATACAGGTTCTATCCCAGACTTCGACTGGGGGGACTGTGGAAATGCATAAAAACCTCATTCAGGACATCCAGCCTCTGAAAAGAAAATCAAGATCTCCAAAACGCACAAGAGTGCTAACAATCATATTGTGATGTTTAGTGACACGGTGATCTTTGTGACCCAACACAACAAACAATATTACCTTTAAATAAAGACTAGTTACCTCTAAAAATCAATACAAGGACAAATTTTCATTAAATTAGTGTCACAGTTTTCATCTGTAAAATGTATTAAGAAATGTGTTTGAGACTCCCAGTGTCTAAAGGCATTTAGTTTCTCTGACTGCATCTCTGGAACAAATCTTATAACGAAAACCATAACTGGCATTTCACATAAATAATACAATTGTTAAACAACAATATACAACCATCTGTAACGCATACTTGGATCATAACTGTACAATGAGCATTTATTAATTTATTTCTTACCATTTTATATTTGTTCAGAATATACAG